TGTGTGTGTGTGTGTGTGTGTGTTTTGTTTTCTGGTACTGGGGATCAAATTTAAGGCTTCGTTCTTTCGAGGCAAGTGCAGCTCCATTGAGCCACAACCCCAGCCCAGTTGCAGATAATGGTAAAACTAAACTCAGAGGGCTGATGAGCCCTCAAGGACTGAATGAGATGATTCCTGCAAAGATCTCGGCATACAGCTAGCAAACAAAATATACTCAATACGGCCAACCACAATAGCAATAATCCCTATCACTGAACACCACTCCAAATCATTTCCACTAATAGTTCACTGAATCCTCACACCTTTAAGCTAGGAACTGCCATTATACGCCTTTCACAAAGGAGGAAAATAAAGCTCAGGACTGGTCAAGTAATTTTCCCATGGTCACACAGCTAATTACTAGCACAGCCCACATCTGAGTCCAGGTAATCTGCTCCAGAGTCCCTGCCCCTAATGGTCATTTATTCTTAAAGGTCCTTCATTATTCCACAAAGTGTAAATCTTGCAACTTCACACTGTACCTCATAAATTTGTACAATTATATGTTAACCTTTTAATTTCAAAAAAAGATTCTTGCCCACAGAGAAATTACTTGAAATTATGTATCAGAATATTCACAATCTCCATCCCAGTATCGTGATGAGATATTTTCATTTTGTTAAAAAAAATGGAAAAGCATAAAAGCTACAACCCCCCTCATCTATCTGCACGTGCCCTTCCGGGAGACCCTAGCATCTGAGAGGTGATGAGGTGAGAGCAGTTGAGCCACACAGGGAGAAGATGCGGCACACCCGGACCAGTCTGGGGCGCCCATCCCACGGGGCGACCTCCCCAGCCTCTGTGGCCCCAGAGCCCATTGCAGAGCTACAGCTGCAAGACAACAGGAACCCAGGACCAAGGGACAGGCTCTGGAGCTGTAGGCAGGTCTCAGCGACCCTGCTGCACCCTTCACTCATCTGATAAAAGCCCACATGTTTGCTGCCCATTTGGCATGGGATTACAGTGGAGCTTTGTAAACAGCCAACTCATTGCCCAAGAGTCCTTGGCCCACAGATGGCTCCAGGGACTCCTCCACACCCAGCAGGGGCAAGAGGGCTCTATTGGGCCTTTATCCAAAGAATCAGCTGTGAGACCTTCTCTACAGGAAGGGAGAGATGGCCACCTCCCCCTGGATGCCACATCCCCACCTGCATGACATGGCCTGCTTTCCCTGGCTACCCTAGCATCACCCATTCTGCTGGAACTAAGTTCCCTACTGCCCACCCCACTCCCTCCACTGGGTTTAATCCAGTATGAGCTGATCCTTTAACAAACAAATGTGATTATGGCCCCTCTACCACCATTCCACCCTGAAGAGTGTGCACTGGAAAGACAGGAAGCTCAGAAAAAGATGAGCCAAGGTGTTTAGGCTGGAGCTGTGCATTAGTCTAAGGCATGAGGTGCTCAGATGGAGCTGCAGAGAGGTACTGGAGACAGAACAGGGTGGGGAAGGCAGGTGGTTTTCCCTGCCCATGAGAGTGCTTCTCATTTTGATGATGGTGTGGATTATTCCTGGAACACTCTTCACCTGGGTTTCAAATCTAATTCCTAGCAGACCTTTCAAGACCAGGGAATGTAGGGACACTCCATCTACTACTGGGGATTCTCCGAGCCACCTGTCCACTTTGTAGCCTGTAAAATTAAGAGTGCCTCAGAACTGCTGCTGAGCAAGGTGCTGGTTTTCTAGTGTCCCCCTGGCTATGTATATACGGTTTACCGTAAGTTCCTAGTTTACCTCCATCTATGAAAGGAGGCCTTGAGTGGCAGCTGTCAAACTGCAAGATATGTAGATATCTGCCCATCAGAAACATGTGAGCCTACCCACATGGACTGGGCTTGCAACATTCTCTGCAAATAGAAAGCCCAGTGACGGCTGTTCCCTGCTCTCATCCTTGGCCATCCATCCACACACATCGATTCAATTCCCTAAAACATCTTACAGATGAGCTCTTCAGCCTTGCCAGAACATCATTCCACAAATTCTGTTACATATTTCTGCTTTCTCCACTGAGAGCCCATGGAACTGGCCTGCTATGGGATCACTTTTGGAAACAGCATTTCCCTTAACACAAAGGCCATGCCCCCACCAGGATTGGGTGGGCTTCCAGGTGAGGTGGATGCTCAAGTGATGTTCTCAAGAGGACAGCCTTCAAGGACAGAGGCACAAGTCACCTGTCTCCTCTGCTTGACCCCTACCAAGACACTGATCCCTGGGACACTGGGAGTGAACCCTGGGACATGGGACCGAACTAGACCCAAGGTGTGAATAGGAGTGTTAAGTGTACCCTAGGGATCCTCCCTGAGCTTCTCCCAGAACACCACTCACAATCTCTCCTTCCTCTTCCAAACAGGAATGCAAATGTTGCTCTCCCGGGGAGAATTCTCACTGCCTACAAGGTTCTGCCAGTCTGACTGTTATCTCTTCTTAAGTTTTTGTGGTGCTGGAGACCAAATCCATGGCCCTGCATGTGCCACTGAGCTCTGATCCTGGTTGTGACTGCATTTGGGGGGGGTGGTACTAGGAATTGAACCTAGAGCCCTTGCACTGACCAGTGCTCCCAGACCTGTTTTTATTTTTAAATTTTTGAGACAAAGTCTCACTAAGTCACTCATTTACTCAGGCTGGGCTTGAATTTAGGATCCTCCTCCCTTAGCCTCCCAGAGTGCTGGGATTACAGGCCTGCACCCTCCTCCCAGCTCTGGGTGGTTGTTATCTCTTAAGTAGGAGGTAACTCTGGAGAAAGGATTCCTACCCTAAATTGCAGAGGAAAAACAGACACTCTAGGAAATATGATAGAACTTTCCAAAGCATCCATGAATCCTCTTATGCAAACTATTTAATAAGTCACAGTTGTGTACAGTTGCCAGACACTGTCATGCACACAGAACTTTACTCTTTGAAAGAGCCTGGACATCTTCCCCTCCAGCTTCAGCTACTGAGTCCTGCCAGCTTCTGGGGCTCAGGTCGAAACTTCCCAGGGAACCTCTCCCCCACATTTCCGGCTCTCAGAATACAGTGACTACTCCTTAGAGACAAATGGCCCAGCCACCGTCTCAGAGCTGTGTGTGTGCTTACTGGCTGCCAGCTCTCTCTTCTCTAAGCAGTGAGCTCCATGTGGGTAGGGCTGAAGTCTCTGTTTTGGGTCTTTGCTGTACATTAATGCCTAATGTGGTGACTGTCACACAATGGATGCTCAATCAATCTTTGACCATAAATACACAGAGGAATGAATGAAAGATAGATGGATGGATGGATGGACAGATGGACTCACATCAGGCTATTTTATGGAGAGTCTTGCCATTGCTCTTTCCCCATAATTCAGCCAATCCCTTCTCTAGCCCTGGACACTGGGGGATTTTCAGCCTTTACAGAAACCCTAGCCAGGGGAGGCACCCACCTGGCTTCCACTCCAAGGTGAAGGCCCAACAAAGGGAAGAGAACCAGCTTACTCTCTCCTCTTCTGGCTTGCCTCGATACCGTCAAAGGCCACGGTGGCTCCCCTCTTGGCAAGTCCCACCCACCGCCCCTTAAGAGTTAGCTGGCCTAGCTGCCTTCCCTCTGACCCTTACTTCTGCCAGGGCCTCGGCCTCCAGGGACTTGTGGTCCCCTAAGCTGCTGTGCCGGGTGGAGCCGCAGGTCGACCGCATCGAGTGGCCTTCTGAGAGAGCCTTCTTGTCGGGGTAGTTGATGCTGCCAGCACTCCCAAACGTCGCCATCCTCCTCTTCTCCGGGCTCTCCATCCTCCCCCGGCTGAGGGGGATTTTGTGGGGGCTGCTAGGGCAGGCAGCAGCCCTGGGTGGTGTGTCTATGCTGGGGCCCAGGCCCCGGGGAGGACTGTGTGTGTCTCCCCCACTTCGGCGCCTGGGGATGGCTGCTCCGTCGGATCGTAACCGCACTCTGCAAAGGAGCCAGAGGATGGGGCGGGGGCAGAGGTCAACCCTGGCCAGCCTCAACATGGGTCAGCCAGTGCCCATGCCACATACCACACGCACTGCTCTGGCCAGGGAGGGGAAGGTACAGCGAAGCCTTACTGTCAGACCGCACAGCCTCCCAGCAGAAGAGCTGCTCAGAGGGAACACAGCCCAAGAGGTGGTGCACAGAGCCTCCAAGCTGCAGACAGCAGAGGTGCTGACTCTAAAACCAGCATCACCTGCATATTATGTCTGAGCCAGGATTTTAGTCTGGAAATGCTTTGGTTGTACTTAGTTGGGGCCATGGTATGTCCTGAAGCTTTTGAAACATATCCACAGTTCTAGAGGGGCTCTAACTGGTCTGAAGCATTGAGGCTCGACTGTACCCAAAGTCACCAGCACCATACAAGCACAGGAGGGGCCCTGGGAACTAAGGCCTGTTCACTTCCTGCCCAATCCCAATCTCCCCAGGATAGGGCTATGTCCATGAGGCTTTTCTGATCTTGGAGAACTAGTCGTTTAAGAGTTGTTGTGTTGTGATCCCTCTCCCATCTCATGGAGGCCCTGTGGGTGTGAGAAGGGTGGGAGTGTCTGTGTGTGCTCTCCTGAGCTCTCCTGGGGTCTCCCCTGAGCTCTGGCTCAGATCTGGTCTGTTTATCCACTCAGTTGGTGCCACACCCCTTGCCCACCTTCAGCGTCTGAAAGCACCTTGAAGATAGCAGATTTTGCCGTACTCTGTGGAGGTCATCAAGGGTACCACGGCCCTGGTGAGGGAGGGAGGGCGGGATGGGAAGGAAGGGGACCATGTGCTGGGAATGCATGTGAGTAGGGGCCACATTCACTGAGGTCAGCCACACTCAGACCCTGTGTCCCCAGCCAAGCTAAGCAGGCCTGTGGGTGCCCAACAGGACCAGAGCAGAGGTGAAGAAGAGGAAGAGGCAGTGAGTGAGAAAGAATCAGAAGAAAGGAGATGAGAGAAGGAAGAGGGCAAGGAGAAGAGAGGCAGGAGAAGAGATGGTCCTCTCAGCAGTCAGGGGCCATGGTGTTTTATCCCCCCCAGCCTTCTGCCTCCCCACCCCCTCAACTCTGTCACCCATCATAACTGAATAGAAGGTGCTGAGGGGAGACATCAGGACTTCAGCTGAAATAAATTCGTAAACATGTCCTTCCACTGTGACTGTTTCTTTGGCTCTGTCCGCAAATGCACATGTGGATTGACCACATGACCTTCTACTAGAAAAAAAACTTAGAACATAACTTGTTTTTGAGAGGGGGTCTCGCTAAATCAGTACGTTGCCCAGGAAGAGTTGGACCTTGCCATCCTCCTGTCTCAGCGTCCTACAGTGCAGTGCAGATGTGGCCACTGCACCCAGCAGGTAAAGCATTTCGAGAGTCCAATGAAAATAAAGCATGGGTAACTGTCAGTTCTTTTCTTTTCTCCTCCTCTTGTCCTTGTTTATATTTTATATAACAGCCACATACTTGGACTATACCTGTTCTCAGAAGGACGTGGCAGCCCCATGCAGGTCGTGTGATAGAGCCTGGCCCACACACAGGAAGTAAAGAACTTGGCAGATCTGCTCCCACCCAGGAAGTGGGTGGAATGAGTGTCAATCTTCCCAGCACAGTAGGTACAGCTTTTCTGTTTATGCAGTGGACCTCAGGGGTGCATGAGCTTTACACTAAAGTACTGGGTAACAATGGAGGTTTCAGTAGGAAGCTTGAAGGAAATGCAGGAAGTGGGAGAGGGAGAAAAATACTTGCCAATTTCTCTCCCTCTGCCTTCTCTCCCTCAGTCTCATTCATTATCATTATTTTAAAGAAAAAGCACTGAGTTCTCAATGCATGTCTTTCCTCCTCTACCTCTATCCCTACCCAAACCTGGACGGTTTTATTCCCAGCTCTCCTGAGCTACTCCAACCAGCCTGCCCAGTTGTGCCCAAGATCCCATCCTGTGGGAAAAGGTGTGGCAACAGCCTCCTTCTCTCTCCCCTGCCCTCCTATCTCTCTCCCAGTTCAGATGTGAACAGATGCAGCAAAAGGAACCAGCATTTCCTACCGGCCCATCACCCCCCCAAAGCCGTAGTCTGAGATGTGCTCCGTGGGGGACTGGAGGTCGTTCTTGGAGGAGGCCTTGTCATCCAGCAGCGGTCCACTGCTGGCCTCGCTGTCAGCCTTTTGGCTCAGGCTGTCAGAGAAGGCATCATCCCTGGGGAGAGGAGAGACATGACTTGGAGGAGTCACCCTGCAGAGGACCCAGGACACAAAGAGTTCCTTGTCACCTGTCTGAGGGGCAGAGCTGACACACACCAATGCCAACTGTGCCCACAGCCTGGGTGAGCCACTGCCCCAGGCATACTCACTGCCATGCTGCTGAGGCCAGCTTCTCCTGCAGGGCTTTCTACACCCACCTCTCCTCTCCTCACTCTTGCTTATTCTTCTCTCCCAGGCTGTGCCTGAACTAAATCAGACCAAGAGCTGCCAGTGTGCTGGAGAAGCCAGTGGTGGCGGCTGCACACTGAGCATAGAGAATGGCAGCTCTCTGGGTCTCCGTGCAGCTCCAGAAGGGATTCAGGGCTAAGCCAGGAAGGGAAAAGTGACTCCATCCCTCAACTCCCCTTCCAGGCTGGAAGACGTCCATGAAGGGGCTCGACCTCCTAGGTGGCCCTGTCAGCCTCCTTTCACAGCCCTCTTTCTCTTGTAACATGCCTTGGCCTCAGGGACCTGGGACATCAGGCACTGCTGAGGGCCCTCCACCACAGCATTCCTCTTACCATTCGTCTGGCCCTGGCCTTTCCTCAGGCTTGAACCTTCCCCTCTCCCATAAAAGCATAGGTCTTCTGCTATGAGGTTTAGCTTAGTGGCTGCTTCCATGCTAAATCAATTTCCCTGTACCTGACTGGAGCTTCAGGGAATGTGCATACAAGAGGAAACCTTTGGTGGCTCAAAGGGACAGAAAATGTAGACTTGCTACGGGCTAGGTACTTGGAGCGTGGGACTTTTTTCAATCCCTGAAAGCATAAAAATGGCATCCTGTTAACTAGAAACAAAGACATGTTTGGTTCTGCCCTTCCCCTGTGAAGGCCCTGTCAGGGGAAGAACAGTGGGTAGCAAAGAGAGAGTGGGCTGGTCACTGGCTAGGGGAAGGCAGGGAGAATATGGCAAGATCTGCTGGACACTATGAACCATGGTGAGGAGGGTCCGGGAGGCTGTCTGATGATCAGGACAGCTAGCCAGAAGCACCACACACCAACACTATGTGCTCTGAAGGACAAGCCATTTGCATATTTGCTAAGTGGACTATCAATAAAGGGAAGTGGGGTATAACACATTCTTAGAGAAGATCAAGCATATTATGCCAGCTTATATAACCCAGCACTCCCCTCTGGTGCCATTGCAGACATCACCAATCTATCACCGCACTCTTCACAGGTCTCCAGTTCCCACTCACATGTCCTGTACAACTATGTACTGATGGGGGATGAGTCCATCCACACCATTGTGACGGCCTTCCCACCAGTCCTCCGAGGCACGGTGGTACAGGAGCAGTGAGGCCCCCTTCTTGAAGGACAGCTCACGTGGGGACCGCCCCACGTAATCAAACTTGGCAATGGCTTCAATCTGCTCCACTTCTGGAAAGAAAGCAAGGGAAAGAGCATCCATAGGTCAGCACAGGGTTAGCCCAGAAGGCTCCCTGGGATGCCCTGGCTTCTATGGGCAGGACAGGTGCCATGCCTGGTAAGAACATGTGCTGGGGACACTGGGGTCCTAGGACATCCTCCCCATTGTGTAACCTCAAGCCAGCTGCCTAACTTCTCAAGATGTCCACTGGGAACAAACATACCAGGTCCCTATTTTCCACTGACCCTCTTGCTCTCAACTTTTTAACATTCATTAGGACAGTATTCAAAGAAACTTGTTTCTTCTACATCTTTACATAAGTTCTGGTTCTGTTTTCCCATGAGCCCTTTCCCTCCCTTCTCATTCCTTTGGTGGTTTTTAAACTTTGGAGAAGTCAAAAAGGCAGCGTGTGTACAAAATGTGACACACAGTTTTTAAGGGTCCCAGAATCCTCAGGCTCACTGTGATGAACCGAATTGTGTCCCCCTCAACATTAATATGTGGAAGCCCTAGTCCCAATGTGACTTTATTTGGAGATAGGGTCTTTACTTTGGTAGTTAAGGTTACTTGAAGTGCTGGTGAATAGAGGGTAGGCCCCTAATCCAAGATTGGTGTCCTCATAAAAAGATGAAGAGAAACACCAGGACATCTCTCTGTGCATGCACAGAGAGGGGAGCCATGGGCAAACACAATGAGAAGTCAGCTACCTACAAGCAAAGACAAGAGAGCCCTGGCCCCAAGTCAACTCTGATGCAGCACCTTCATCTTAGACTTTCAATTTTTACCTGACAGTAGCTGTCACAACCATGATTATAATTACTAGTGGATTTAGCTTGCTGGAGAGATCCAGAGATGAAATCCAGGCTACAGAAGGTTTTAATGATATATAAGAACATAGAGATGGTGATATTTTAAGAAGAGACTTTGCGGGGGCAGGCAGAGGGACTGTGTCTACTATTTATTCATCCTGTGTCATACGCTGTACCCTAAGAAGGGCCTATGCTTGCCAAAAAATGTCATAAAGGCAAGCACAAAGATATGTAATTACTTAATTTTTATTTGCATTGCTGGAGATTGAACCCAGGCCCTTGCACATGGTAGGCAAGTATTCTACCATTAAGCCACATTTCTGGCCCTTTTTCTTTGAATTTTATTTTTCATATGGCTCTCACTAAGTTGCCCAGGCTGGGCTCAAATTTGTAATCCTCTTGCTTCAGCTTCCCAAGTAGTTGGGGTTGCAGGCATCCACCACCAAGCTATTTTTTTTAACAGAACAAAAGGATAACAAAAGCAAGCCCTGCTCTTTCTAGCCTGAAGATGTCTTCCCAGTGCTGAGTCTCCTTGGAACTCTCTCTGCTCCATTTATCATGGATGATCTTGTATCCATCTATCTACCTGTCCATCACAGTTAAGATTAGAACACCTGGCATTCTCACCTGTGAGTTGTGTGACCTAATTTTCCTTTCTAAGACTCAGTTAGATGGAATTATAGAATTATGAAGTACAATGAATGAAATAAAAAAATTTACAAGAGGGGCACAGCAAAAGACTTGAAGAGGTGGAAGAAAGAATTAGTGAACTTGAAGATAGACTGACGGAGATTATGCATGCTGATGAATGGAGCAAAAAAGGAGGAAAAGTGAGCACAGCTTCACTATAGGAGAAGTAGGATCGGTAGCTATCTCATAGCCCCATTGGTCTTTTGCTACACCTTTTCTGAGGCCTCACTCCTGGGATTCATACTGCGGTACTCCCTGCACTTGGGAGGCACCTGGCTGATGTTACCACTCTGCCTTAGCTGCATCCTATAAATTTGTAAGTATTATGTATTGATGATTTTATTCATCACATTTTCTAGTGCTCTCTGTTTTTGTGTGTATGCTTTTAAATTCTCTTAGGTGGTCACTTGTGTCCAGCCTGAAAAAGTCTTAGTATTTTTGTAAGATGGTTTTAATAGTGACAACTTTTTTTCAGTTTTTTAAAACTTGGAAAATCCTTTCATTAAATTTCTGAAAGATAGTTTTACTGCATATCAGATTTTTGGTTAGCAATTATTTTCTTCAAGCACTTTGACTGTGATATTCCACTACCTTCTGGTATCCATTGTTTCTACCATGAAATGAGCCATCAATCTTACTGAAGGCTTGTTTTTACCTTGCTGATGTCAAGAGTGTATGTATCCTTGTAACTGATTTTCACCATTTTTACTATGATTTGTCTGTGTAAGGCTCTCTTACATTTATTTCACTCGGAGCTTATTTCTGTCTGTGTTGAGTTTCCTGGTTGTGTTTCTTAGTAAGTTTGTGAAGTTTTTCGCCATATTTCTTCAGTTTTTCTACTTTTGTTCCCACTCCTGTCATTTTTAGTACTTATTATATATATGATGGTATATGTAGTAGTGCCCAAATTTCTCTGCACCATGAGGAACTGCTTGCAATTTACCAAGGTCTCACGACAGGCTGGGGACTCCTCAAGGACCTGCCTTACTCATTGCCACATCTCAGTTCCCAGAACAGATCCTCCAGGGGAGGGACAAAGGGCTCTCTCTACTGGATGCTCTTGTCCCTTAGGATTTGCACCTGGGCCAGCAGGACACACAAGGGCAGATGTGGGCCAGGTGTGGAATGTGGTGAGGACCTGCTTGGTGCTGGGGCCCGGGACATGCAGAGAATTGTTCTCTGGGTCCTCACCTCTTCTTAAGGACAGTTGTGTAAGTGTGGAAAGCTGGAGGGCTCTGCAGGCTGGCCCAGAAGGTGGCAGGAGGCCACACAAGAGACTGCAGGTAAGACCCTTGGCCTGAGCTCGCCATACTCACCTTCATCACTCGTGTGAGGCTCTGTGCCATTATCATGGTCAACTTCATCGATAGTCCCTGGCTCACTGTGTGGGCTGTCACTGCAAGGAAAAACAGGGAGGGGACTCATTATAGGGCTGTCTATACTCACAAGACTCTTGGATCCCCAGGGGAAGCAGCCCAACCACCACTAGGCCCTCACCCAGCACTGGCCCAGGCTCACATCAGCCTATCTTTTCATCAGACCACCCTTGGATCTTCTAATCATACCACCATTCCCAGCCCCTCATTGGGGAGCCTCTCTGGGCACCTCCCTCTGCTCCCTACTGGCCCTGGTATTTGCTGGGCTATCTTCCCGGTGAAGATGGTCAATGCTTTGGATGTGTCCCTTAAAGGTCATATGTTGGAAACTTTATCCCCCGTGCAACTGGGTGGGGAGGTGGTTCTGCCCTCATTAATGGATTAACATGGTTATCCCAGCAGTGGGTTAGTTGTATGAAAGTAGGCTGTCACTAAAGCAAGTTTGATCCAATCCCTCTTACTCTCTCACTCTTGGCTTTCTTGCCCCATTGCTTGTGCCATGGGATAATGCAGCACAAATACTGGCACCATGTTCTTAAATTTCCAATTTCCAGAACCATGACTCATACACATTTCTGTTCACTGTAAATTATTTAGCCTCAGATATTCTGCTACAGACACAAACAATGGACTTAGACAACGTATGTATATTCTGTAGGACCCGGACAGTGGTGATCAGGCCCCAGCATTTATCATCAGAAAGTCCACGGGCAAGAACAGAAAGGACCTTTTGGTTATTATGAGTCATTTCACCTGGCTTGGCCTCCTTGTCTCACAGTTCGGTGGTGCATGACTTAATCCCAGCACTGTGAGAAACCAAGACAAGAGGATCAGAACTTCAAACCCAGCCTGAGCAATTTAGTGAGACCCTGTCTCAAAATTTAAAAAAAAAAAAAGGCTGGGGATGCAGCTCAGAGCCTTAGGTTCAATTCCCAGTTCTGGGGGAGAGGGGAAAGCCCCATTCCCTCTGAGCAGTATGCACAGGCTGGCCACCGTGATGTGCTCCAGGTGTGTCCTGGAATTATGTCACCCCTGCTACTCCCAGGCCAGATTACGATCTTGCTGAGGCCAGGTGTGTTCACACAGTTGGTGGGTGGGGTTTTCATCAAGCCACTGAGGGTTGTAATGCATGGCTGTCATGCTAGGCAGGAGAGTGCCATCACAGGACGGGGCAAGGCCCACTGCTGCACTGCTTACATGCCAGGGAGGGGGATGAGAAAACAGTCCACTCAATTGGGCCAGTAAGTAACAGCTGCAAGCTGAAATAGTGTTTTGTAGGAAGTGGGCAAAGACAAGAAGCACAGAGGGCACCTACATAAAATGGTCAAGGTAGGCTTCTCAGAGGAGGTGACACTCATAGTGCCATTTAAACGGAGAGGGCTTTAGTATGAAAATCTCTCCACTGCCCCTGGATTAGGTCCAGACTCCACAATGGCTACCAAGACTACTCAGCTCCTGGTTGTGTCCAACCTGGGAGCCTTGTCCCTCACCATTCCCATGCCACACATGGCACTCCAGACACACGGACCCATGTGTCTTTTTACTGAATTCTCCAAGCCTACTAAATTCTCCTCCCACCCCTTACAGACCAGTTGCTCTGCTGTCAGCTCAGTACCTAATTCCAAGACCTAGCTGTCCACCCCACTCCTGAAACTGCCTGCCTCTGACTCCATCACAGCTCCCTGCACCAGGAGCTGATCTCACTTGGATCCCATTCCTGCCCCCCAGCCTGGAACCTGGACCACGGCACAGCCTCAAGGACCATATGACCACGTGGTCCACTATGCTGAGGCCTTCAGCCAAAACTCCCTTTTTAGATTTGAAAACACTTCCAAAATTACCACATAATTAATAATTTTCTAGTCTTATGGGAAGCAAGTGGGATTGAGAAAAGTGCTATTATTGTATATGGTTTTTGGATAAGATAAGCTCTGTGGGTCTTTTTAATACCAACCTATTGAACCAAGAAGAACTGGTGTTGGCAAAAAGTGAGAGAAGGCTTCCTTTTATAGAAATGAAGCATCTGGCTGTTGAATGCTTCTGTTACAAAGCAGGGACATTATTTCTCCTGAAAGCCCTCATAAGGACAGAGAACTGTAATCAGACATCACACAGCCCAGGGTTTCTGTGTGGAGAGGTGTGTGTGCAGGAAAACGGGGCTGGAACACCTCCCTTCTCTGAAACAACTGCTCCTATCTGCTCCCAGCACACAGGGAACTTAGGAGCCCAAGGATGCTTTGCAGTCAAAACCCTAACTGCCCCTTTGTGTCTGGCTGATGGTGAGGGTAAGACCTAAATGCACAGCTGTATATTGTCCTGTGTTGGGAATTAAAAAGCAGTGGTTATTCTTTGGCTAGTCCCTTTCACTTGATGTGCTGAATTTCATGTCTTCAATGAACTGTTTTCTCATGGAGAAATCTTTTAAAACTAAAAACCTTAACTGACATACAAAAACATCAAATAGTACATATTTATGTAGCACTGTGTGCTTTTTCAATACATGTACCATTTACACACTGTATGTATGATATTTAAACCAGAGTAAACATATCCATCTCCTTGAACATTCGTGCATGCGCGTGCACGTGTGTGTGTGTGTGTGTGTGTGTGCATGCGTGTGTGTGTGTGTGTGTGTTGCTTTGAATTTAAGGGACCTTATGCATGCTAAGCATGTGCTCTGCCACTGAATCCCAGCCTAAACCCCGATCAGGGTTTATGGTGAAAACACTCCTTCTAGCTTTCTGATACGGACAGTACATTCTCATTATCTACCATTATCCCACACCCTACTTTGCTTTTTAAAATGTTTCCATGTCTTCACACTGTAAGGTCTTAACCGGGGGAAGCCCTGACTCTGAACAGGACCTAAAACATTGCTCCTGAGACAGAGTGTTGGCAGAAGCAACAGGTCCACAGGCGTGCCCACTAGTGACTGCTGCCCTGGAGGGGATGCTGAAAGAAGGCAGCTCAGTCTGTCTTGACAACAGACCTCCTGGGTGGGAGGGGACAGTGGTGTCAGCATCACTTTAGCTCATGAGTTTTAGGGCATTCAATTTCCCTCCACTTTCTGAGATGGGCCTGCAGCACCCCTCACCAGCAGCGGCATCACCTCTGCTGGCCACGAGGAGGCCTCACTAGACCCAAACATTTCTCTGGCTTGTGTTGGCACACTTGGGAAGGAGAAACGCTTTTTCTATTAAGGATTCTCAAAATGGGTTTAAAGCTGGCACTGCTGACTGCCTTCTTGCGAGCACCAAGGGAAAGGCTAAGTATAAGCACAGGGAGGCAGAGCAGAGGGATGGAGAGGGCAGGGCCACCTCCCGACAAGAACACCTGAGCTCCTAGATCCAGCCACATCTGAAGATGTATCCCCCAGACTTTTTAGTTATATAAACCAATAACATCATGTCTGGCTCAGGACAGTTTGAATTGCATTTCAGTCCACTGTTACCAACAGGATCTTTACTGATGTACCCATCCCTTATATAAGGCTGCTGTGAAGCTCAGATGAGGAAATGTACACGGGAGTACAGGCTCTGAAGCAGCAAGAGAGCTGAAGAGCTCAACAACAATGACACGGCTAAGCACAACATTAAGAGGGAGGCCTCTTACCAATATTCTTCCCCTCCAGCCATGCACTTTTCATACACAGGTCCCTCGAGCTCTCGGGGGCTGGGGAAGATGGCTTCGTGATGGATGATGATGGTTTTGATAACTTCATTGACGTGTGCCTGGCAGGACACAGGGTCCTGCCCATCAGGGATGTGCATGAGGGTGGGCCCAAAGCAGATGGCCAGGTTGTAGGGGTCCATCATGTTCTCGTCGCTATACTGGGAGAGGCTAGGAGAGAGGAGGCACCCGCAAGTCACTTGGGAAAGGCAGATCCTCCCCTGGAGTTTCTTTCTGGGAGGAGTGGAGTCCACTCAAATCCAGGAGAGACTGCAGAAGCCCTAGGAACCACCACCCAAAGGAGGCCAGGGTAGAGTCCAAGGGGGGCTTTGGCCAAGCACTCACTGGTTGAGGAAAGCAAAGAGGTATCTCATGACCACAATGACCACACGGGGTAGGGTGATGAGGATTTGCTGGATCTGGTGCACCCTCTCGGCTGGGTTCTCCAGTTCTGTAACACAAAGGGGGTTTTTGGAGTGCCTTTCAGAGTCCCACCTCTCAAGTGGATCCTGTCCCCAGTTCTGTCTTTACTTCATGAGATACAAATGTGATCCTTGTCTGGCCAATCAGAGCATCAAATCCCCGGTTAGAGGGAGGGCTTGGGGCTTGGTCTACACAGAACCAGTTAGAGCTGATCCTCAGAACTTTGGGCAGGAGAAACCTATGGAGAGGTGCCTGGAACTTTGGCAGAGGGAAAATCTGAGCAGCTGGGAACTCCCAGGAAGGAGGCTTCTGCCTGACAGAAGTTGGCACAGAGACAGGGGAGGGGCAGACTCCTGCTGATGGTGTCTTAGGGTCTGAGTGCAGCTGGACCTAAATTTTTCAAATACATGAACCCACACATTCTCTTTTATGGATCACACCAGTCTGAGTTTCTCTCACATGCACCCTGGAGTCCTGACAACACAGGCAAGGATCATGCTTTACTAAACTAGTAGCTGCTTAGAAACAGAATGGTGGATACACAACCAGCTGGTAAGCTACCCACTGGCCAAAAGGCTCAGCAGAGATATGGGACCACATCTCTGACCCCTGCTTTCAGCTTAGCCCTGGAGAGACAGGCATTGGTATGTTTATCGGCTCAGCTGGGCTTGGGAAGAGGAGACAAGCACTCCTGGAGAGGGAAACCTCATGCTGCCAGCACTCTGAAAGTCACCTGCAGGGCTGATGTGCAAAACGATACCAGTTTCTTTGCCCAGTGATGTTTTTCTTGAACAGACCCTCTCTCCAGCCTCCATGTTCTGAGAGATGGGGCTGCAGCCATCCTGCCAGCCTCATCCCCAGCTGCTGCCCCTTCCCCAAGTAGCTGAAGAGGATCTGAAACAATGCCCTCCAATAAAGGGCCTCTGACAAATCCAGGGCACTTGCACGCCTGCAGGGCATCCTCTGGGGTTGACACAATGACTGGAAAACAGCACTGGCATCTGGTATCCAAGAACCAGGGTTCTACCAGAGTTCTGAATTTGTGGGATACACACAAGGTCATCTCTCTGTCCTGAATTCTAGAAGTATCACATAGGGAACCCCTCATTAGATGGCCTTGTCTACCCTGTCACTTTGACGCAAAGGACACTGCTACTCCCAGACCTGTGCATATGCTGCTCTCTCTCCCTCGGCTTCAGGACACAGTCAGTCTACTCACAGATCAGTTTCTCAGCCCAACCCCAACTCCCTCCATGTCCTGAACTTCAAGCACTCTTGCCTGAGGACCAGCTCTCATCCTACTTGTTAACACTGTTTTTCCCAAATACATTTACTTAGAAAGGAAACTCTGTATTACTTTGTAGTCGAAAATGAGAGACATTGTTCCTACTGGGTATTAATATAAAAATAGGTAAGCAGCCTCCCGTCTAAGGGGGATAAATTCCAAGACATAGTATGCTTGTCTGAAAGCGTGGCTAGCGTATAACCTGTGTACACTGTTGCTATACACATAGCTACCTTTGATAAAGCTTAATTCATAAATCAGGCACAGGAAGAGACAACAGTAACTATTAATAAGATAGAAAAATTACAACAGTATGCTGTAATAAAAGCTAACTAAAACTCATGATTTGCTTATTTCTGGCATTTTTCCACGTAACATTTTCTGACTGCAGTTGACTGTGGATAACTGAAACTTCTGCAAGTTGAAACCACAGATGGGGGGACTGAACAAGAAAGCAAAAGAGTGTTGCTAAGTTACAGGTGGACATTGTCTGCAGAGCTCTGGAGACCTCAGCTTTCTCTGTTTAGAAGGGCGGCTGATGCAGGAGAGTTTCTCCTTGACATAACCACAGGGCTGAGGAGGGAGCTGAGGAGAGTCTTTCTTGTGTGATTCAAGTCCAGCAGAGTCATGGCCTGGGCAGAAGTGACATCCTTGTTCACTCAGGCCCCCTGCACAGGAACAGAATTACTAGGGGTTCTAGAGACACTGGGCTCAGACAGAACTGAGCTTCTGTGGCCTGGGACTTCTAAGCTGGAAGTCAATCTGGAAAAATGATCAGGAGGTCATGACAAAGGCAGATGGGCCAGGCAGGACCTTTCACACAATGGAAGTCAGAGGGGACAAGCTTCCCTCTCCTGTTGCCATTTCCTGGGATGATTTCCTGGCTACAAATATCTCAGTATTAGGAGGGGACCCCTAGAAAAACTGGGCATGACACAACTTTTCTGTAAATTTAGTAACATTAAAATATTTATCCTATAATATTAAAATTTGAATATTCTAAAATGAAAACATTTGTTTATAAACTATTTCCCAAAAGTAACCTTGGACTTTAGCGTCTTAGTCAAAATACCTGGACATCAGCCTCCCAGACAAGGCTCCTCCTGACTTTTCCCACAGAAATGCACCAGTCATAATGGGCTCCCACAGCTAATGATGGAAGAGGACTCCTACAGTCAACCTACTGTCACCACTTCCCTCATCTGTCAGATTCCTGACCTGACCCCCAAACTGTCCATGGTTCCCCGTCACTCAAAGTGAAAAGCTCCAGGACCCCTGCAAGAATGGATGGTCCTCCCCTCTTGCTCCATCTTACTCTTCTAGCAGCGTGCATCATGCGCTAGCTGGGACAGCCTAGCACTGGTCCCCCTGTTTGAGTCCCCAGCTCTTCCTAGGATCGCCTGCACCCACACCTGTCCTACAAGATGTGCTCAGACCCCTCTCAGGTCCGATCTGTGAAGCCAAGCCTCGCTTTGCCTCTTCTCTCTGAGCTCCAGCGTACAGGGAAAGGGGTTCACCATGCCCAGTAGCCCTCCCTCTCTCCAGGAACCATGTGGTCTCCACAGCTGGAGGACAAGAGCCACACTTCCAATATCCCCTTCTGTGTCTAGCAAAGGGATGAGTCCGCGGGGCAACTTCAACCTGGATCTGTCCCAGAAGCAATCATTCCACCTGGGAAATACTTACTAATAGTAGATATTAAATCTTGAAACCTTTCCTTAGGAAAGAGTGGGTTTTCCAGTCCTCGGAAATACAGTTTTAAAACACCAGCTACTGAATTGATATCTCGCTCATTTTGATCATCCACGAGTGGGTCTTCACCTGAGAGGAACAGGAGGCATTTTGGTCAGGGCTGTGCAGATGACAGGAGAGGTGGCCCTGGACAGTCTGAGCTGGAGGAAAGACAGCTGCAACAAGCCTCCCCCAAATATGACACCCCTACCCCAAGCTTAAAGTTCTGCCTTCAACTTCCTGTTGAAAATATTCAAAGCTACAGAAAAGTACAAATAAATGAATGCACACCCACTGCCCTTCACTGCCCTTCATCTTGCCACACCTGCGCCTTCCTTTCCTATTTATATTTTTGGTGGCTCGATTGTTTGAAATATTGATAGACATCACAACATATGACTGCGAAGCACTTCCACACGTGTCTCCTGAAAACCAGGATATTTTCTCTTAACCCAATCACAGCCATACACTAAGGAAATGAACAATCATTCCAAACTACCATCTCACAGAAGGCACATACCCAATCTCCACAGTTGGCCCACAATGTCTTCCTTAGAATTCTCTTCGAAGTCTAACATCTGACCAGCACTCACACAGTTCATTCAGTATTATTCCTCAAGAGCCCTTTAAACACAAAATAGACTCTGATGGTTTTGTGTCAGCTTCTTTTCTATAATATTGACCTGGCTGAAGGGTTCAGGCCAGTCGTCCTGTAGAATTCCCTCATATTCTGAATTTGTCTCATTGCTTTCTCATGACTGAACTCAGGTCAAATATTTTGGCAAGAAGCTAAATGTGATGGCTTCGCCTGTAATTTCAGCACCCTGAAAGGCTGAGGCAGGAGGTTAACAAATCAGAGCCTGGCTTCGTCAACTTTATGACTTAGTGAGATCTTGTCTCAAAAAGGCAGGGTAGTGGGAGGCTAGGTTGGGCTGGGTAGTAGCTCAGTGTGAAGGTCTTTGGTTCAATCCCCAGTACAGAGTAAGAGTTCTCTGTGAGTGAGACTGTGATCACCTAACCCCATCCCGTGGGAAGGCAAGTACATCAACCTGCCCTGCTATGGGGATTCTAGGTGTGATCACTGTGTACAGGCGCTGACCTTGAGTTCAAAGGCATTTATTTCTCCCTTTTATAATCAATCAGTGATCTGAGAAATGATGCTGTAAGCATCCAACATGTTGAGACTTTTCGTTTATCACTGTGCTCAAGTACCTCACCAATAGGGTTAGCACCCAGGGATGATTTTTGCCCAAACTAATTGTTATGGGGGGGGGCAAATGGCGATTTTTCTATTTTTGTCATTTCTTCTACACTTTCCACCTGCCATTCTTTTGTAGAGAAGAGCTTTCCCAGTGTCCTTTAATCCCTCACCCCCTTAGTTGTTAACATCTTTCCCAACTCACTTCTGTCATTTTAATCCCATGTGTAATACACCATGACTATCACTAGTCTTGGGAGACAAACTGTCTCAAATTTGGCCATGCAGAGTCCTCTTTTGTGTACTTTTAATGGGATCTCCAGAGGAAGTTAGGTCCCTGGGGCAGTGTCCTTGATAGGGTCACTGAATCCCAGCCTCTTCCAGTCTCTTTCTTTGCCTCCTGGCTGCCGTAAGGTGAACAGCTACTTCTACTGTACATTTTCAGTTTATAATGTCTTCAACTTACGATGGGTTTATCAGCATGGAACCCCATCATAAATCGAGCAGCAACAGTATATCTTCTTTTTTCTTACAGTGAAAATTTTTGTTTTGAATAACAGTAGCAGCGTATTTATCTGACTTATCCTGGAATAGGCATCAAGAGTTTCAGAGTTTTAATAAAAATAGTACTACTAACAATAAATTATTATGTAAAATTTTTTATTTATTTCAGGAGCTTTTATTTTTGTGTTCATTTAGTTTTTGTTTCTTAGACTGTCTCCTGCTAAAGAGGTATTGGTAGAAGATAGAAAGTAAGTTGGGTGGGTAAGGTTCCTGTAATCCCAGCACTCTGGGAGGCTGAGGCTGCAGGATCCCATGTTTGAGACAAACCTGGACCATTTAGTGACCCTGTCTCAAAATAAAAAATAAAAAATGGGTTTGTGATGCAGCTCAGTGTGAAGGCCTTGGGTCCAAGCCCAGTTCCTCAAAGATCACCAAGAATCACCCCACCAAAAAAGAGAAAATAGATCAGCAGCGCCTATAGGCTTGGGGGCCAAGGTGTGGGCAATACAGGAAATGGCTACTGTGGGTACAAACTTCTTTCAGGGATGGTTACAAAATTCTGAAATTGTATTATAATGATGATGCACGAGCTGTAAGTCTATTTGAAACCACTGAAATGTGGACCTTAAAATGGGGGATCCTATGGTGCAGAACTCAGCAAAGCTGTTAGAAATGTAGGCTCATGTCCATGTTCAAAAGTTATTCTCTGCGCTTGTCAATTTGATACAGTTACCTTATTTCTATTTGTACTCAATTACAGGGATTGATTTTTTTTTTTTTAGAAATTCCCCTTTAAGTTTAGAGTTTTGGAAATATAGAGCATTTGTATAGTCCAAAAGGCAAAACCAGACAGAAAGTTGCTCTGAAAGAAAGCATACCCTCATCCTTCTCCCTCCACACCTCCCTTGTAGACAGTCTCATTAGTTTTGGGTTTGGCCTCTGTGTTTCCTTCTGAAGGTTCAGCATGGGTCAGCTGACCAACAGCAGAAAGGAAATATTCCAAAGAAAAAGTTGCCTTTGTACTGATCATGTATAGATGTTTTTCTTGTAGTAATTCCCTAAACAGAATATAACAACTATTTACACAGCATTGCCATTGCATTGTTATAAGTAATTGGAACCTTTAAACAATGGGTGTGCTAGAGCCAGGGATTTAGCTCAGTTGTTCCACTGCCTCTCTCGCAAGTGCAGGGTCATGAGTTCGATCCCCGGTGCCAGGAAAAAAAAAAAGATAAACAAATAGTGTCCTTATTTTCAAAGTTGGTTTATTGTAGACAACAACAGAGTTGAGTCTTCTTTTTATACCCACTCTGACTATTGCTATCTTTTAATTCCTGCATTTATACCCCTGACATTCAAGGTGATTATTCATATAGTTGGATTAAGCTACAATATTTGTTACTCTTCTCTACTCACAGTTGTTGGTCTTTGTTTCTGTCTTTGTCTTCTTTCTCTTCCTACTGTGATTTTGAATTGAGCATTTCATATTTCAATGTATCTCTTTCCTTAGCTTATCAGACATATTTCATCTTTTGCAGTTGGTTACCTTAGAGTTTGACAACATGAATTTAGAACTAATCTATACTCATACTATCACTATACTACTTAATGGAAAGTGTAATTTTTAATAAAACAGAACTCTTCTCTCCTATGTCTTTTATCACTGCTATCCTTCATTTCACTTATATATGAGAACACATACACAGATATATGTGTAAAAAGTATCCATAAGCACACATAACTGAAATATCATTGCTAGTTTAATAATTATTATTATGCTATTATGACGAACGTTACATTAGATCAGTTTAGAATTGGAAAATAAAATTTTGTATCTTCAAAACTAAAGTATATGGAAGAATTGTATAGATTCTATGAAAATACTACAACATTTTTTTATAAGGGATTTGAGCACCCAGAGATTTGGGTATCTTGTAGTGGTTTTAAGGGGGGTCCTCAAACCCAACCTTCACAGATACCAAGGAACCTACACAGGGTTTCTGTTATTTCTTCCAGTTCTTATATAAAATATAATGTACTTGTACATAAACTTTCCTCTTCATTTAATAAGAAAATGAACTAAGGCAAGTAAATGAACCATGAATACATTAGTTCACAGAGATCGTCCTTCTTTTTAATTGCCGCAAAATCTATTTTGTGGACAGCCTATAATTCTCTCAGCCCATCTCTGATGGCTCCATCCCTGAAAACACTACTGCAGTGCATCCTGGCCTGTGTGTGGAGGTCCAAATCTATGGCTGGGTCCTAGCAGTGGTGTCTCTGGGTATCTGGGTAGAGTGTGTGTGTGTGTGTGTGTGTGTGTGTGTGTGTGTGTGTGTGCGCGCACGTGTGTGTGTGCAGAAACTATATAGACAGTATTGTATTTTATTTTATTTTTTGAGACAAGGTCTCACTATTGTGCTCAGGCTGGCCTTGAACTCATCATGCCCTCAAATGCATGGAGATCCTCCTGCCTCTACCTCCCTAGTGCTGGGATTACAGGCATGCACCACCATGCCTGATTCCATGTGTGGTTTTATCAGACAGACAGCCACAGCCTGCTGCACTGGGACACACCATGTTATCCTGCTACCAGGAGCCTCATCATGAGATGCTGTTTGGCACAGCCGCACACAGCGTGTTGTCAGTCTTTTAAAGTACTGCCAACTGGAAATGAAAAGTGGATCTCAGGAGGAGAACACTCTTCCATTCAGCCAGAAGATGCAGAGTCTGTTCACCAATGGGAGCTCCCATGGGGAGGGAAGGCAGCAGTGAGGGGCCTAATGCCTCCATGAAGGTGCACAGAGGGCTTTTCCTCCTCCTCCCAAAAAGCCCTGGATGTTTGTATAGGTCTGGCAAACAGGAAGAGAAGAGCTGGAAACTCATACTTGGATCTCTTTACTCTGCCTCAAGAGAAAGTGAATGTCTATCACTAGTAAAGGCTCTTCCAATTCCAATCTGCTTTTGTGCAAATTCAACAAAGCCCCCTTCCTTCCTGGGTAAGAGCTCACAGCTGATACAGCAGGGCCATAGCTCAGCTCCCACTTGTCCTCTTGGTGGGGTACCTTGTGGGGGGCCCACCCTAAACTCCAGCATGTGGCACCCTGACATGGTGTTAGGTTAACCTCGTACGTGTTCTCACCAAAGAAAGTGAGGCTGTTTGCCCATCAGGCTTCCTTGTGGGAAGGAAGAGAGAACACATTTAAAAATGACGGCCTGTCCACTCAAGTGAGATGCACATATCCACATGTGACCTCTAGGAATCCTCACAGCAGTGCATGGCCCCACGGGAGGTCTGATTTCAGCACCGCCCTTCTCTCCTGAGGGACAAACGAAGGACCACTAAACGAAGCATCTTTGTGCCTGTGTGCACAATTTAGCACAGATACTGGCAGCTTCCAGGTGACACAGTGCTGGGGAGTTATCCTCCTTCTACCTGGGACTGTCAGCTCTGGCTGCCTGCCTGTCTGCATCCCTGCCTGCCCATCCAGCCAGCCATCCGTCCGTCCATCCATCCATCAATCCACTTTCTTTCCTGCCTTCTTGCCTTTACAGTAGAATTCCAACTTTTTTGTTTTGTTTCTTTTCCAAGGAAGCAGTTTCTATTAAACCCCAGCATACCAATCCAAGATGCCCTCGCTGCACAGGAGGGTGGAGGGTGTTCAAGCCCTATCCCCTGAGCCTCCCTGTTGCAGCCTGAGAAATGCAAAACCAGTACCATGTCTGGCTACTTCCTATTAGTCCCACTTCATGCTTGTAGCCTCAGGATTCAAAAACACATGGATATTTTTCCCCGTAAGTATGAGTCACGCACATGGGGACACACATACTCACACACACATGTACATACATGCTTGTACACACACCACCCACCATCCCAGAAGGTACCCAGTGCATAAATGCAGCCACCAAGATTTTCTGCTTCCTTGCCCAGACCTCAGCCTCCGCAAGCTGTACATTCTGGCCCTGGAAGGAGCAGAGTCCTACAGCGAAAGATGCACGGGACAGCTTGTATGAATGACAGCTTTTTCCAGGAGGAGGGGAAGAGTGAAAGTTCCAGACAAGTCTGAGAGGAAGCTGTGTGCTCACTGAGCAAACTGAGCCCCTGAAGTCGTGGTGCTGTCAACCGCCAGCGCCGCTTGTGGCTCACTCTTGTGGGCCACATCCCCCAAGCATTGCCAACACTGTATGGCAGGGCGCTGTCCTCAGGGCCTGGACACACGTGCAGTCAGGGTGTTACAGACCCTGCCATTGCAGGCTTAGAAGCAGCCCCTCACCAGGGCAAAGCTCAATGGCCACCAGCCTCCTCCATGACAGCCCCTCCAGCACCCTCCTCCAGAGGCTGGAGAGCGATCTGAGGGCAGTCTATCATGTGTCTGGCTTTACGTGGTGCAGTGCTCAGGGTAGAGTTTCAACTTGCTTGCTTTGGGACCCTGGGAATCTGGTGTGTCTGGGTGGATCACAAAAGTCTGGTTTTGGAGGCTGTGTCTAATCCCGTGCCCCTTCCTCTCAAGCACTATTCCTATGCTCTGCTTCCTGGCTGCCATAAGCTAAGGAGCCTTGCTCTGCCATACCATTCTACCATGTTGTTCCTGCTTTGGGGCCAGTATACCATGGCCTGAATCCCCAGAAACCATGAACCAAATTAACCTCTCCTCCTTCCCATTGTGTCAGGTATTGTCGAGCAAGGGACAGCTGAATAACATGGATGGTGTAGCTCAGCCTCAAATCCAAGCCTGAACAGACAAGAAGGCTGGTGCTCCCTCCACTCCCCTCCCCCTGCTCTCACAGCTTCATGTACAAAGGGATCAAAGAAGAGTCCACAGGAGACTTAGAAAGTCGAAGGCTGGAAGGGGGCACTCAGTGTTTTCTCTGCTCTTTCTATCTGTCTAAAATACTTACAAACTTGAGAGGCTCACATCATTTCATATTTATCTACAGGGCTCCTTTTCCCAGAGAGTCAACTGGAAAAGGTCACCAATACACAGTTGTGGGACAGGTTAAGCAACCCTACCTAGAACACTTGGGAAAAGAAGTATTTCAGATTTTGGAATTTGTGCGTTTTGGAATATTTGTACATATATAACAGGATATCTTGGGGATGGGACTCAATTCGAAACACAAAATTCATTTGTTTCGCGTACACATATAGCGCAGAGTAATATTATGTGAGTTTTTAAAGCGTAGCTATATTTTGACTGTGTGGTCTGTCACATAAGGTCGGGTGTGGAACTTTTCACTCGTATGTCTAAAGTTTTGGCTCTGGAGCATTTTGAATTTCAGGTTTTCAGATTAGGGATGTTCAACTGGCAGAAGGAGGTTAAGATTGAACTGTTCTGAGGGTGCCACAGCTTAGAAGGAGAATGTCCCTGAGGTCCCGTTTACTCAGAGTAGGCCTTTGGAAGGTAATGGGATGGTAGGGAAGGTGCTGTTAGGAGGTGGGGCCTGCTCCTTGGGGCTTGGCCTGGCGGGGTGCACCGCCCTCCCTGGCTTCTCCCTTCTCTCTTTGTGCCCCGGTGTCCGAGGTGAGCTGCTTTCTTCCTCCCCGGCCGTTTCACCGTGCCACTTCCGCATGAGAGCCCGTGGGTCTATGGACTGAAACCTCTAAAACCTGTGAGCCAAAATAAACCTCTGTTCCTTCAAGTTGTCAGTATTGGGTATTTTTTCCTAACGATGAGGAAAGGGACTGACATAGAGAGGAACACAAAAATCTCGGTGTTCTCCCGCGTCTGCAGTGGAAACACTCCAGCGCTGGCTGATTTCAAGCTACCGGCAATCCCAACGCAAGGCAGGGAAGAGATATGCACAACCAGCTCTTGCAAATTCATGCAAATTCATCAAGCTGAGGGCTCCTACATACCACTGGCCCCCAAAACACGCACCAACATCTACCCTTGCTTCCCCAGTCACCAGCTTGAGATGATCACTGTGCACTTACCTCTCTCAAAGGAATTTTTGATGTCATTGACTTCGACTTGAGATCCTGGCACTCTGAAGATCCCCTGCTGCTGAAGTCCTAAGGAAGAAACAAAGAACACCGGAAATGACACGAGACCTTAGCTCATCAGACCACTGGGAGTATCAGTGGTCCATCTCTTTCTCCCTCCATCCTTTATAACTGAGTTGTTCTCAACGAAGGGCTCCTGGTAGGAGCCCTAAATTGGCCTTCATAGTGCACTCCAGCTGGGCAAAATACTCGACACATCTTGCTTTACGTCAGGTCTGGGAATCCCCTGCTTGACCTTGAAGGGGAAGGCAGCCAGATATTTACAAGGGGTGATTAAAAATGTGATAAATGCTTAAATTAAAATTTATAAACTTACTACAGTAAGGAACAGATAGGTAAGAATGATGGGATAAGTATGTTCAAAGTGAGGGGAATGCACTCCAGCTGGGCAAAAATACTCGACACATGTTGCTTTACGTCAGGTCTGGGAATCCCCTACTTGACCTTGAAGGGGAAGGCAGCCAGATATTTACAAGGGGTGATTAAAAATGTGATAAATGCCTAAATTAAAATTTAAAAACTTACTACAGTAAGGAACAGATAGGTAAGAATGATGGGATAAGTATGTTCAAAATGCACTCCAGCTGGGCAAAAATACTCGACACATGTTGCTTTACGTCAGGTCTGGGAATCCCCTACTTGACCTTGAAGGGGAAGGCAGCCAGATATTTACAAGGGGTGATTAAAAATGTGATAAATGCCTAAATTAAAATTTAAAAACTTACTACAGTAAGGAACAGATAGGTAAGAATGATGGGATAAGTATGTTCAAAGTGAGGGGAAAAACAAAGTGAGGGGAGTATTTTTCTATTTTGAGAAGGATTAATGGCAATGTACCTTTTACTGTAATAAATGTTTTATTTAGACACCCTATACTTAGAGCACCCATTACTGGTCAAATGTTTATGACAACTTCTGTCAAAGAGAAACACAGCAGTGCCAGACTCACCTAATTCACCATATCTGGCACCATGTGATTTCTGATTCTTTCCCACAGTCAAAATAACCAGCAAAGTAAAGAATTTGGAATGGATTTAAGACACTAAGGTGCCCACAGCAAGACAACTAAAGATTCAAAAGAAGACTTCCAAAGTTGCCTAAGAAAGATGACATTAAGCATGTCCAAAGCAAGGAGTATGTCCAGAGGAATTAATGGTATTGTTTTTTACTATAACAAAATTATTAAAATTTAAACATTTATGGTACTTTGTGATCACACCTTGTATAACAACACCATTCCTTCCCACCACTAAGGCACTTTTTTCTTCTTTTTTTTTTATTTAAGTTTATCGGTATATTTTAGGTATACAGTACAGTTATATTCATTATTGGGATCCTGTACCTTTACATGACAGGTCTTGGTTCTCATTTTTCCCCTTGTCCCTGCCCTCCCTTCATCCCCTCCTCCCCTCCCCATTTACAAACATTTTATTTCCATTTTTTCATTTTCTCATATTTTTTTCTTTTCCCTTATTACCTTTCCCCTACCCTTCCCACTTCCCCTACACCAAAGCCAGACTGGAGTGCAGTCAGGCCTGAGAATCAAGGACTTTGGGAGGATTAAATTGTGAAAGGAAAACAATCTCACTTTTTTAAAATGTTTCTACCTAGCCGTAACCACAGGCACCCTGGTACTGAGCCCATGGCAGCCCACATAGCTGGAGGAGACAAAGGGCCGCCTCCTCACAAAGGGATCTAAAGAGGGTCCTGGGAACCTTTCCCTCAGTTTCTGTTACGTTAGGAAGTACTGACTCCCAAAAGGCAGCATCCAGTCAAAACTGTAGCTAAGGAACACCCTCCATTTCGAATGTCTCGCTCAGCCACACTGCCCTGCCTCCCCTCCAGGCCTTCCCCACTACCCACTCACCGTTTTCTGTTCTCCCCACCTGGACTGCACAGTTGTCTGCCTCTACTCAAATATCACTCCTGGAGGTCTCTTCCCACCCTGAGCCACTGTCTGCCTCCTCCCAGTGAGTGTCTGTACTACCAAAACCTGCAGTTATATCGCAGTCAGCCTTCAGCAACCACAGCTTCCCTGTCTGTGGATTCAGCCAATGACGTACTGCATACACTCAGGAAAGAAAACTGCATGTGTATGGAACATGTCCAGGCTGCCTTTCTCATCCTCCCCTAAATAGCGCAGGAGAACAACTGTTCACATGCCACTGTCGTGGTATTGGGTATTCTAAATCAGCTAGAAATGACTTAGGGTCTAAAGCAGGTGTGTGGAGGTCATAATGGACTGGAACATTTGTGGGTTTAGGGATCTCAAGGGTCCTGGAACCAAACCCCATACACTCTGAGGGATGACTGAGTTACTTTTGTCTATTTCTTTGCCTTTTAACTAGGAATGTCAACCATTCAGGATGGGTGTTGTACTTGTCTTATTCACACCTGAATTCCCAGTGTCCAAAACAGGGCCTGTTATACACTCAATAAATACATTTTTGGGAGGAATAAGTATTAATTATAAGTATTAATTATATTCTGGTGACACTATGGTTAACAAATCCCACACACTATTTCCTTCAAGGAGCTTCTGACCTAGAGGTGTCAAGTGATTGACTACTTTCGGGGACAGACGGCGTGAGGAAGGGGCAGAAGATGGAAACAGTCCTCCTTCCCACATTCTCCCTGAACGTAGGTCCTGGATCTCTCCCCACCGCCTTCTATCCCCTCCACCCGACATACAGGCTATAAAGACAGCACCCAGAGCAGCAGCTGTTCCCTGGAGCACCCTCCCCACCCTCGGAAGCACAGCAGTGACAGGAAGCCTTCCATGATGACTGAGACTCTCATTTCCTACAGACCGGCCCTGCACCTGCTCATAAGAGCTGAAGACATGGACCCCAGACTGAGCTTACCATATAAATTGATGTACCGGATGCAGCTCTCAACGACGAGGGGAATAGCTTGTCCTGAATCCTTAAGAAGGAAAAAAAAAATGTGAGTTTTATCAGGCTTGGCAACCACCACAGGAAAAAGACATTTGCAAATACAGATTAAAGCGTCAAGCCAGAATACTAGTACCATCAGATTAGTGGGAAAACAAGCGAGGAACTGCTAATCTTAAAGACTCTATGAATAGACACAGTACAGGGTCTTCAGTTAAATGCAGAAGAAGGCATAGCTGTGACCATTTTAAAGCAATGCTCTGTCTTCCTAGCCAGCTGGTGAAGACCCTGGGCTTGGGAGGGAGGGGACGCCGTGCTGTGGAGGGCTGGAGTCTGACCTTGAGTACTGCTCTGCCTCCCGCACCACTTTGCCCAGCTCAACACTCTTCTCCAGGGCTTGAAGAAGCAAAGGCAAGATGGGGGCCTCACCCCATTCCCAGGGCGCCTGAAGCCAGGACTGAGAGGAGCACACAGAAGAAGCAGGGCAGGCCGTATGGCCCTTTGACCTTGCGAAGGGGAAGACTACTTCTGCCTGTGCTCTTACAGCCTAACTACGCAGATAATACTTAACTGGCCCGTGAACACCTGTGGCTGAGCGCAGTTTCCTTCTGAATCCCAGGATAGGTTGCCCTCTCTATTATTTTAGTCACTTAAATAGCATAAAATAAAGCCTGTGTTAAACTTTTTTTTTTTTTTTTAGTATGGACTGAATCCAGGGCGTTGAGCATGCTAAACGACCCCTCTCCCACCTGCACCCCACCTTTACAGTGCTAGGGATCGAACTCTGAACCTTCATATTGAACTATATCCCCAGCAATTACTTTCATTTTTTAAATTTTGAGACAGAAGTTCTCACTAAATAATTAAACTGCCTGGGTGGAATTTGAATTTGTAATCCTCCTGCTTCAGCCTCTCAGAGTGCTAGGATTATAGGCATGGGCCACCATGCCTAGCTTCTTTTTTTTTCATAATTTTTTTAAAATTTTGAGACAGAATATCACTAAATTGCCTAGCCTGTCCTTGAACTCACAACTCTCCTTCCTCAGTCTCCCAAGTAGCTGAGATTATAGGCATGCACCATTATGTCTGGCTAAACTTTCTTAAAAACCTGAATTAAATTACTAGCATTTTTTGAAGGTGAGAAAACAACAAGGCACTTGTAATATGTTTCTGTGAGCAAGCAAAGATTTGGGGATGCCTTTGACTCATCCATACCCCACCTGGAAATCTGTCCTTGCCTAACTGAGGCTGGGGAGAGGACAGGAGATGGGCCCGTGGGAAATAGACAAAATTGCCTGCTCTGGGAGTCAGACCTAAAGACGCTCCATCCCGCTGCATGGGGCTTATGGGCCTTTCCAGTAAATACCTGGTTCCTGGTTCGAGCATTTCTTCTTCCTCTGATAACAAAAAATAAACAGGCAGCAGAGCAGGAAAAAAAAGAGAGATTATGCAGGAATAAGATCAGTATAGAGTAAGCAGATCCTTCAGAGTCCGTGAACACCAAGATGCAATGGCAGCCAGAAAAGGTCCAGGGAGCCTAGAGAGCAGCCTGCCCATGGGGAGGGCCACCCTAAGCTTGGGCCTCACAGGACTTGGGGCTGCCCCATCCAGCCCTCCAGCATGCTGCCCTGTGCCAGAAACAGGGGCCCCTGCCAGCTCTTGTCAAAGTGAGTGCTGTGTTCACTGCACCGGTGCTATCTCCAACTCTAGCTGCTCCAAATCAAGAGACTACCGACCCCTCAGCCAGGGGACCCCTAAGTAAACCCAGCTGCCCATAGAAAGGAGGAAGACATTCTGAGTTACCCATAACACTGTCCCTGATGTTCTCCTTAGGAAGCCCCACGCTCAGGGAAAGGTTCATTCTACATACTCATGGTTCTCAGCTGCCCTCTGGATAGGACCAGGATTCTGCCCAACTCCAAATCCCACACAGTTCCCTGGGCTCTCCTCACCAACACCCAGGCAGCTCTTCCAGGGGCTCCACTTGACCTTGATTGCCTTCCTACCCCTGTCCCTCACCAGGCCCGGAGCCTCACTGGGGACATGGAAGCTGGGACGGGCCTGGGGGTAGGGGACTCAGAGCACCTTCCCGGCCTTAATGTGGAACCCGAGCCTCTGCCTTCATGGAATGCCGCCCAAGAGGCCATGTAAAGAGGATCTGTCCACTCCTTCTCATGCAGGCAGTGAACCCAGTTCTGGGTGGGGAGCCGTGTCTCATCCAGGCCATCTGAGGCTGAGTCGAGAAGCAGGGGCATATGTGCCTTTTGGTGGCAGCCACTGTCCACTTCCCTGAGTCCCACCCCGCAGGATACCCCGCTCACCAGCATGTGGGCTAAGACCACTGAAACCTAGAACTCAGCAGACAGCCTGTCATGGGGGCTTGAGGACCAAGAACCCCAGGGTTTCTGACCATGGCACAAGGCAGGTCACACATGGTGTCCACTGCACACTGCCCACCCTCTAGACACATGGCATATGAGCCCATCTCCTTCTCAGTGCCAACTCATGGGGTAGGTAATTCCAATTCTCATTTTATTGAGCAAGATGGGGACTATCTCCTGCCACAGAGGTGAGCTCCTGGACTCAAACTGGACCCGTAGAAGAAAAATGGGGTGTTCTTTTATCCGAGAAGAGAAAAATATCAAGGATTTTGCAAGTGGCTGGTCCAGGATGACTCCAGAGTTCGAGAAATTTACAAATCTAACTCCAATAACATGCATCTGCTATTATTAATTTTAGGATACTTCCTGGTCCTACTGAACTATCATGATCATGGAGTCCCAGGACGATCATTTCCTGGAACATCTTCAGCGGTGTGGTCTTTCAAAGCTAGGAATGTCAGGTTCGGTGTTCTCCCAGATAGCGTGTGAATTAGAGTGGAAAATTAAGTTCTGCTCTCCACAGTGGAGAGGGTGGATATACCATGCTGCCTCCCCATCCCTGAGTGTTAAGGGTCCCTGAAGTGGAACTGTGCCACCTTGTGCACCTGGAGACACAGCAGGGGGCCGTTCCACTTCACTGGCTGGAGGTGACAGCAGCATGGCGTGGCTGTGAAGAACGCGACAGCGGGTATCAAGTCGCTGTCTCTGTCCCAGTCCTGTCATCACCTGTCTGGCATGTTCTCTCCCGATGCTGTGCCCCAACTCCAGCCTCAGCACCGCTGCTCAGGGGCCCTGGGCTGTCCCCTGTCAGGGCTCTTTTCAGAGCCAGTTGCCCAGTGCCTTTGTAGTCGGTTCCTTCTTGTCCTTCTGTGCTTTCAGTGGTTCCACAAGGCTAAACTTTGGATAAAGCACTTTATTCCAAAGACTGGGTACCCGTTCACACACAAAGCTGATACAAAGGCCGCGTGAGAGGCTCTGAGGGAGATGGCCAAAGAGCAGCTGCCACTGTGGTGTTGGATTCAGGATAAGGAGATTTCCCAAGGCAGCCCCCTCAGCACGGCTCGAGTTCCCAGGCCTGAAGATGTTCTGACACGCTGATGAGCGAGGAAAAGACAGCTTGCTTTATAGTCACAATGTGTATGTAGGGCTTTCTGTTGAGAGAACGCTTAATTCCACAAAACACTTGATTTTCAGATATTTCAGATTAGAGTCAGTTCCTTCCAGGTGTCCTCACTGATCACCCCTCCCAAAGGCAGAAATGAGCTGGAACAGCAACTCTGTCTCTGAGCCCTTGCCCCCTTTGTCCTTCCTTTCAGGGCTTTCTCCTGCCCAGCTCTTCTCAGCGTGTTCTCCTAAGTCCCTCCCAAGGAGTCCTGGTCCCAGCTCAAGGTAAAGTAAGATGGTGATGAAGTCACCAGGGCAGCTCATTTTAAACATGGCTCAGAAGGTTTGCAAGAGTCCTTGCCAGATATCCGTGTGCGCATCCCCATCCAGTGAAGACACCATGGAAAAGAAGACTGGTACCAGTTAGAAGACAAGTCGTGATATTGCTGTTGGTTTGGGGAGTCACAGAAGCTGCCCTGCACCGGCTCTCTATTCTCTATCCTCAGGGGTGGTGCAACCTGAACTCTTGGAGAACTTGCTCCTATAGGAACAATCTGCCTGGTGCAAAATTTGCCTGCCTACACTACCTGCTCCTTGAGGGCCAGAGTCAGCAGGTAGTATCTCTCTGCTGAGCACACTGGCTCCTTCAGGGCCACAGGTGAGTGAGAGGTGAGGCCCTGCTATGCCACAGCTGGGGAAATATCTCTCTCTCTCTCTCTCTCTGATTCCTCTTTACTTCCTGCCCCTCTATGGGGTTCCTTTAAGGCACCACCCATGGTACCCCACAGCCAGTATCCTAAAGCAGCTTGCTTTCCCAGCTCATGGGCATTCCCAACTTGAGCTCTGCTCTTAGCCTTCTGTTTCCACTGTTCTCTCTTCTCCAGAACTCAGCCCATAGGTAGACAGTCCTGGGACCCGGATAGTCCTGACTTCCCCTTCCTATGCCTGATGCTGACCCATCTCTAGTCCTCCCTGTGTTGCAAGTCCTGCGTTGTACTGTATCTGAGGATAGAAGATAGATAGAGAGCTGGTTCGGGGGCAGTCCCTGTGACTCCAAACCATCAGCAATGTCAGGACTTGTCTTCTAACTGGTACCAGTCTTCTTTTCTGTGGTGTCTTCATTGGCTGGTGGTGGGCACACAGATAACTGGCAAGGACTCTTGCGAACCCTCTGAGCCATGTTAAGGATGAGTCTCCTCTTCCTGCAGTCCCCTACCTATTGCTCTTGCAACTCCATCACCATCTTGCTTCATCTTGAGCCGTTCTATCTAGATAGCCTGGCCTTATACCCTTCACATCAGAGACAATGGAAAGAGAAACTCACCCGGCTGAAACACGTTAATGTTCAGTCTAAGGCGTAAAGGGCTAACCTGGAACCTATGGGAACTTCCTCAATCCTTCTCCCATCTCCTAAACCACCTAAAAAGAAGCAAAACCAAGCACAACGTTTCTCTCATATAAACTGGATGTGTTCCCTACGCTGGTATTTGTGGAACTAAACGAAGCAGTAATTCACTCACGCTCACGCTCACCCTCACACTCACATCTAGAGAAAGACAGGTGTGAAGTGTGAGCGTGGGGAACTTCTGACTCCCCAGATACTAGGGCTGTGGGTCTTGGAAGCAGCAAGGAGCGGCTGGCTGGGACCACTGTGCTAGCCTCTCTGCTCCACGCAGACTCCGTGACCAGAACCCTCCCCTGGGCCTGAGAAACACGAGCTTCTCACTTCGGGGCAAGTGACCAAAGTTGCTCTGATTAAAAATCCTCACTGAAGCCAAAAGCAAGCTGCAGTGAGGGGCGAGCGCCACAGCACCACTGGGCTGGCAGAGGGGACAAAGCGTCCATTCTGGCGGGCGCAGGGCCATCAGCTGGAGGGGAAGGGAAGGGAGAGAGGCTGCCGTTACATTGGGCACGTTCGTGGACTCTGTGGCTCCCCAGCAAGTACCTTAATGAACGCTTCCATACTGCCGTTAAAGAGTTTATGGCTATACACTGAAAGAGGCCTAGGTCTCCTCATTTTCTGTGGTTTAGGGGGAAGACAGGGGGGCCTAGGGGAAAACGGAACAAAAAAATCAAGAAGGCAACCAACGTAAACATACAGCTGGGAGAGATGCTCTTAAAACCCACACCTGGAGGAAAACAGAAAATGCCAACGGAAGCCCCCGGTTCCCAGTGTTTCATCTGAAGGCCTACGGATGTTTCGGGAGATGTGAATTTACCCACAATGCCAAGCAGGAGCAACTCTCATGTAACACAAAAGCATTCTATATTATGAGGGGGTATGAGTCTATGAAATCGTAAGACTCCAATCTGATTCTGTCATCCTACAAAGCTAATCAGATGGGGCAAGAGCAGGGCAGAGAGATAGACTTTGTTACCCAAGAAAGCAAGAGACTTTCAAAAGTGACCAGGGGGGTTAATTTTCATTATGTGTAGCTTAAATTCATTATCAAGTCTCAACTCACAGTGTAGCTGGCCACTTAACTTCCTAAAATTATATTCTTCTTTCTATTTCAAATGCACTCGACTAATCTTTAGTTTGACAATTATGAGTCTCACTGCAGAGATAAAGAAACTGATGTCATGAGGCAGGCTGCAGCTTCCTTGGGGTCCTCATGTAACTCAGATGATATTCTGTTCTTTCGTCAAGTGAACTTTTGGTTAAAGCACCTTAAGATCCATGGTCACATTCAGTATCATGCCAGCGTATGGCTCCACTTCACAGAGGTAGAAAACGAGTCACAGAAAGAGCTAGGCCCTAAACCCAGCCCTTTCTGGCTCTGAGGGCAGGGTTTTTCCTACCAGGTCACAGTCATGGAGCCTTAGGGTGCCTTGTCACTTGCAGCCAAGAACTCATCTACCCCCATTAATCCTTGCTGTGAGCTCCAGTTGAAAGTGTCTTGCTTTACTTTAGGATCCACTCCCTGTGCTCTGTTCTTGCCACAATAAGGGGAAAATACATCAGTTTTCCAGGAACAATAAAACAGCCACAAACACTAGACCCGCTTCCAGTACTGCTTACCATGCATATGCCTGTGTTGGCCTAATTGCTCATCTCAACACCTAGATTCACTTGAATCGATGCTGCCACATTTCCTGGACAAAGGGTTTTTTGAGGCTAGGAGGAGACCCCTACTTGAGAGAGGCAATTCATTTTCTAATAGATTGGTTCAAAATTTGGAAAGAAATAAATGGGAATTCAGCCAGACACAGATAATGTTCACCCCTGACAAGGAGAGACCTGTTTCCCCCAAGTCCCTATTGATTTCTATGAATGGGCACGATGTCTTATGGACAGCACAGCCAGCCCAAATCAATAGGGTTTGTGCCACCTCTCCTGTGGGTGTGCACCTGTCTCCTTCAGCAGCCCAGCCGTCCAGGGAACTGCTTGCAGCTCCTTGGTGTCTGAGTCCTGAGCAATTGCTGCTGGCTCCAGCACATGCACAGGCAGAGACAGCAGAGCCCAAAGAGCATGCCACCCAAATACCGGAACCCAAACAACAGCACAGACAGACCAAAATTCTGAAAAGAAGCAACAGGCAAGATTATTTCCAAGCCCATCTTGGATCTATGTCAATTTGGTTAGCTAAGTCCATGTCATTTCTTTTTCAAAAATAAGTTATTGTTTAAGGTTATGTAGGGAGGGATGGAATCTCTTGCAATGGATCTGTTTTTTTGTTTTTGTAATTTCCAAATGTAAAAGAGAATGTCAAAAATAGGACCTGAGGCCTTTTAAATTTGAGTACTGGGAATAACTCAAGGATAGCAAAATTCTTGCTCCATTTTCATAGTGTTTGGGGTTCTCAGGTCACTTCCTGATCTCACATTGCAGGACCTCCTCACAACCACAGGCTAAGTGGGCAAGAATTCTTACACCCATGATGCATAAGGGAGATCAGTCCTTCTGAGATGAGGAAACTTGCCTGCAGTCACACAAATAAAATGTGACTGAGGCTAGGGATGGAAAACAGCTCATCCTATGCCAGGCTCCAGTGTGAGTGTGAAATTGAAAAAAAAAATGATTCAAATGATTTAGAACAACCAGCAGTAGCATAAAATTATCTGTTAAACTCTCACAGCCAGCAAGAGTGGGGACATGGTAGGGACACAGGGCACCCAGGGTCAGAGGATTTTCTTAAAAGAAGTCCTGAGGTTTTTTTTTAACAAATTTACAAAGTGGAATAAAATGGAAAATAGGATATGTTTCCCCATTTTTCCTGCCCAATCCAGAAAGCAAAGGGCTGTTTGGATTTCTTTCTTTGTGTGAAGTCTCTGACAAGGAAACGTAGCTATCCCAACTTCGCATGACATCAAATCAACTTACGGAAGTGCTGGGTGGGGCAGGAAGTGGGGAGCAGGGGGACAGCTCAGCCAAGGGAAGTGGGGCAGCCTAAGCCTTCCATCTCGTCTGCTGCTCAGTTGCAGAGCAAAAAGGAAAGAAAAAGAGAGAAAGAGAGAGAGAGGCAGGGAAAACAGGAAACAGAGAGCCACAGAGAGGAAGAAAGAGAAACCAGAGACCAATGACCCCTTTCTGCCTTTCAACCAAGATGAAAATTAACGTACACATTGGCAACACAGGAGTGGGCCTCTAAGTCATTCTGGGTCAAAAAGGATGTGATTAAGAATCTCCCAGAATTCAAAAATAATTCCCTACACAAGCCAATAAACATGGGTGTCAATATCCAAACTGGGGGCAACCCCGAAGTCTGGTGGAGGTAGGGTTCCGGGAGCTATGTGTGCTACACACCAACTTGCATCTGGTTAGGCATAACGTCAAGTGTTTCACCACTAATACAGGCCACAGGGGTGTGCCAGTCTGGGTTAGGGTAGCCAGACTTTCTCCGAATCATAATAGTTAAAACCTTACATTTGCATCTTGCTTTGCCATCCACTATGCACTTTTTAAGTATATTAGCTCATACCTGGCTAGCCTAAATTACAGGGTTACCATGAATTTGGGCTATTCTAAAATAAGGTTCTTACATGCGAGAAAATATATTGTAGCTCATTTGCAAAAACTAGTCCTCCTAGGGCCAGGGATTTAGCTCAGCGGTTTGGTGGCCTGCCTTGCAAGCGCAAGGACCTGAGTTCAATCCCTGGTACCAAACAAAACAAAACAAAGCCAAAAAACTAGTCTTCCTATACAGTGCAAGATCAACAGCAACTTGTCTGAGGGAACCTCTTCAAATGACCATCCCAGTGGTACTGGCCATGTACAGGGATCTAATGAAGATAGAGAGAGCTATTTCACCCTTTAAGATTAATTTCAAAATCACTTGCAAGGCACCTTTGACTTTCACAAGTTGATGATTATGGACCTGAGGAGAGGCTTTTAGTTTTCTAACAAAGTCGCCTTTTACTTTGTCCAGGAGCCAGAGGGCAGCAGCCAGCTCTGCGGTTTAGGGTAGGGTATCTAAATGGAAGTCTGCTGATCTTCGCTTGAATTTCCCAGACCCTCAGTCAGAGAGGGTATGGAAGACAGCATCTCAGAGGGTTTTATTTAAAAACAAAACAAAAAGCCCCTCAACTTCCCACTGAAGTAGGAGCCTGAGGCTTGGCCAACGGCCTATCACAAGACTCCCCTTCTGCAGTCTGCTGGGACAATCAGTCTCCTGAATAAGTCCTAGAAATTAGGAGGAAGCGAGAGATGACTCATTTCATCCCCATCTGTTTCACTATCTGCAGACTCTGGTGTGAAATACTGCTTGGGTTGTTTGGGAGCTTTATTAACTTCCTCTTGCCAAAATATTAATACACTAGTTTGAGAGGTTCTTCGAAAGTGACCCTGCACATCTGCTGTCCTCCATGTGGGAAGGTCCTGACCTGGCCTGACTCATCCTCCTGCTCTCAGATGGCCTGGGCCCAGAGCAACAGCTGCTCAGGCTGAGTTTCTGGAAGGCCCTGAGTTCCTGGGCCCAGAGCTCTCCAAGCCTCTGCCCCAGCTGCTCCTTTCCTGAGGAGATAAGAGTTCAGGGCTCACTGCAGCTCTTGCCAAGTAGACAGTTGCCTGGGATTCTGGGCCCTGGAAGAATTTGTGGGGAAGGAAAAAATGGTATCTGGTCCCTGAGCCCAGAAAGTGAAGCACAGTAGCTCTCAGCATCACATGTGGGTGGCACAGTGACCCAGGCTGAATTTCCAATGGAGAGTGCAGTAGCTCTTGCTGGGGACCCAGGAATGGATGGCTCTAAGAAGCAACCTGGGCCTGATAGATCTGCTCACAGAGCTAAACTCTGAAGGTGAGGCAAGCCAGCTCAGCTGCTGAGTGGGAAAGTGTGCACTGGCTCTGGTCTGCTCAAAGAAAAGCGCAAAGGATAATGTTGAACAAGCTGGAGAGAAAGCAGAAGTTGCCCATGGATTACTCACCCCATCAGCCCATCAAGCACCCCATGAGGTCCACGCCTGTGCAGGCAATATGGTGCCTACACACACAGCTGCAGTGTGCACATGCATAAACCCAGCTAGGGCAATGCCAGCCAACCCCAAGCCTGGGCACAGGGCCCCAGGCAGGGTCTGCCCCTGCCACACACTGACAAAGGGGTCAGCAGCCAGAGAGACTTTCGCCTCTCCTGGGCATCCCAGCCTCCCTGGAAGGGGTTACTGTCCCACCCCATGTGCAGCACAGAGGGAAAAGTTCCCACTGCCCCCTCCTCCCAGCTCTGAGGGTGCCTACCCCCATCTGGAGGGCCCCAGCCTCTCCAGGCCAGTACAGGACAGTGATATCCCAGGCAGGGACAGTGCCTTCCCTCCTGCACCACCCACCGTGCTGGCCCCCAGCTCCCGCAGGCCACACACCACCCTATCCTGCTCCCACCTCAGGCAGCCACGGGTAAAACAAAAAAGATTCTCCAGCTCTCACCTGGTGGTGCCACATTCTGCTCTTTCTCCTAGCAAGAAAAAAAAAATACACGTTAATGTTTAATTGGCTTTAAAAGAAAAATCAGAGTACATTCATCTTTTCTTAAATATAAAACAACAAAAAGATCCCCGGTGCCCACTTACTGGACCCTGTATTCTAACCTCCAGCCCCAACAACCACTCACTGTCTCTGCAGTTCTGTAGAGCAGTGACAGCAAACCTTTCAGAACTTTTAGTGGTAACAAACAATCCACTGCAGCACAGAAGCCACAGGTCTGCCACCACTGGTCTAGACGTTTCACGTGAACAAAATTACGCTACGTGGGGTCTTCTGTATCTGGCACCTTCTCTGAGCATGGTGCTTCTGAGGTTCACTCACTGAGTGTGATTGGAACAGCAGGCTGCACAGAGGAATCACATTTTTTCCTGTCCTCCCACCACTAGTGGCCTCTTGCATCCAATCTCAGAGGGCCCCAGACCTCTCTTACCTATGGCTCAGCATCTTAATACGTGCATCCCCACCCACCCAGTTGTTGAAGGGAATTATCCTTGGAAACTCTCCTTCCTTCTTAAAAAATTTACCCACTTCCCTGCAATCCATCATGTCCTTCACAGTCTGGGATACCATCATCTGCAGCCTGGACCACGTCCCTTTTAACTGGGTTTCCTGCCCTACTACAATCTATACTGCACTCATCAGTCAAAAGGTCTGTAAATGGTGACTCCTGTCATGCTGTCCCTTGCTTAGGACCCTCTGGTGACCTCCCGTCATTCACAGGGTAAAACCTAAGACTCCGTTTTCTAAGCCCCTGGAAATGGGCCCCTGTACTCTTCCTTCTACTTGGACTTCTCTGAGCAGGAGGTTCCAGAATCACATGCCTTTCATGTTGCCCTCAATTTGGCCTTTGCATCCACTGCCTGCAGTGCTCTTGGCCTGGCTCCGTGTATGGATGGCCCCTGCTTGCCTTCTGGGTCTCAGCTAGAAAGATGCTGTAAGGACGAAGTTTTCAGGTCGAGGTGGGCTCCCTCTGTGCCCTGTGCCCACCTCTGTGCCCTTTGCTCAAAACAGAGAGCTATAAAAATTCCATTCTGTAATCCCACCCTATATGACAGTGTCCTCCCTGTTTCTGTTCCTCTTTTTCTGACCCAAGGATAAATCTATCTTCTTCCCGATTGTTGCTTAAGATAGTTAGAGAATCATATGTTTAAACACGTTTTTTTTAATCATATGCTTTGTTAAATATAACAATTGGTTAATCAAATGTTCTTTGGAAAATGGAACTTGACCCTTTGTAACCTCCCCTCCCTTATTTCCAGTAAGTACCCTCCTATTTCCAGTAAGTACCCCAATATCCAACAGTAATCAAAGATAAAAATAGCACCAATAAAAAGGATAAAGCTCCCCAACCCTATATAATCCTGCTTCAAAGATGAGTCTGGACTCTCAGTCTGGAGCTTCTGTGACAGTGACACCTGAGGGTCCAGGCTCAAGCTTGCAATAAACTCCTCATGTAATTACATCGGACCTGACTCCTTGGTGGTCTTTGGGGACTTCGTGACTTGGGCACAACATTTGGGGGCTCGTCCGGGATCCCCAAGGCACCAGGACTCTCTCTGGAGGAGATCGGCCAGCAGAAGGTGCAAGTGTGAGTGTCTTTTTTCTTTGTTTCTTGTGTCTTTTTGTTTTCTGTTGTCAATGTTTTGAAATCTGAAACCACAGGTCTTTTTAGCAGATTGTGAATCGTGGGCCGACAGGCCAATATGAGTCCAGTGGGCAGGATTGTGGAAGACGTTTCTGATCCTACTGACTGACTTCACTCCTAACTGAGTGAAGACCCGAATCTGAGAGTGGCAAATTATTCGCTCATCTGTGTGATTTGAGGCCTCTGTGTTTTATGTGTTTTTTTGTGATCATGTGTTTCCTTATTTTTTTTTTGTGTTGACTGTGAAAGACAAGAACAATGGGACAGTCCCTAACTACTCCCCTTTCCTTAATGATTGAACATTTGAAAAATGTATAAGATCAGAAGGCTTGTTAGAAAGATATAAAGAAAGATGTATAAGATCGAAGGCTTGGGTATATAGAGAAGGTATATGGAAGTGAAAAAAATGTGTGTTTGCTTGTCGGTTTTAAATTGGTTATAGAAGGTTTATTTTTACAGTAACAAAGAGTTTTCATTTCTTTTGATTATAATTCTTTAAGAGGTTTTTGTTAATTGATTTGCAATTGTTTTGATTAGTCTTAATTAAAAGAGATTTTTAGGGCTGGGGATTTAGCTCAGTGGTGCAGTCACCTGCCTTGCAGGCACAAGGACCCAAGTTCAATCCCCAGTACCAAAAATAAATAAAAAATAAATAAGAAAGATTTTATAATTCAATTGGCTAAATGTATTTGAGTATATTATAGTTTTATAAATTGTTTTATATGTTTGTCTGTGCCCAATTGTTTAAAGGGTGTTCGTTCAATTATATTTTAATTAAAATGATAAAAAGGATATTAATAATTTGTTAATTCCTATAATCTGGTTTTATAAGTCAAAATTTTGTCAAGATAATTAAATATAAATTCAGGTCTAAATAGATTCCTGTTAATAATAAAAGGATAGCTGCTCAGAAAAATTTATTCTGGTCATTATTTATTAATGACCTTCTGAGATGATATCCCCAATAAACATGGTTAAATCTGTTGTTATAAAATGTTTACATTGGTTATCATCAAAGAATTAGATTCTAAATATGTTATTGTGATGTGTTTATAATGCTTATTTTCAAAATAAGATTTCTATAAAAAATAGATTGAGGTTCTATTTAAATGTTTTTGATATCTGATTAGATTAAAAGGTATAAAATTTCATATATGAAATTATGATTGTTGTTAATTTTCTGGTGTATTGAATAAAGAAAATTTTTGGATAAAAGGTTTTTATAGGATTTATATATCTATATGTATAAATCTTTAAAGTGCCCCAAAAGATAGTAATTATTATAAGATAAAGAGTAAGAATCAGCATTTAAATAGCTAAAGCTAATTCTGCTGCCCCCTGAATCAGGGATCCTAAATGTGGTCCAGCCTTTTAGTTTGTATCTAATTGAAAAAAAAATCATATTGCTTCAGGGGGTACTCATTAAAGTAATAGGCCCATAAAAATCAGCCAATGATGTATTTATCTTAGAGTTTAGATCCAGCTGTGAAGAGATAGCTCTTTGTTTAAAAGCCCTGGCAGCTAAAGTAATGCTAATTAAAGAAGTTGACCAGGTAACTTTAAAAAAATAAATAAATAAATTGTTTGGTTTCTTCATGCCTTTTAAAACTATTAAATAACAGGATATTGATGGTTCTCAAATAATAGAGTTACATAATATCAGGCCCTCATCTGTGAGAATCCCCATCTATATTTTGTTCCAGTTAAAACCTTAAACCCTGCTATTTGTTGCCCTCGGAACCTGGCCCCCTGATCACAACTGCCTCAGGGTCACTGACGAATTGTTCTCCAGTCATCCAGATCAGCAGAAAGACCCACTTCCTGAGGCTGACTTTGTCCTGTTCAAGGATGGGGACAGCTTCATGAAAAATGGGGTATGCTATGCTAGCTATGCAGAGATGACTCAAGATACAGTGGTCCAAGCAAGACTCCACCCCACTGTATTGGTCAGCTCAATGAGCAGAACTGTGGGCACTCATACAGGCTCTCCAATGGACAAAAGAAAAGAGGGTAAATGTTTATACAGATTTTATGATTGCCATTTGGTATATCTATGGCACAGTCTACACAGGTGTGGTCTTCTCACAGCAAAGGATAAATTTATTAAAAATAAAAAAATATAATATAGTTATTTAAGGCAATGTAAAAATCTGACAAAGTAGCTATAATAATTCAAAAAAGAAAAGAGATAATAGCAAATGACAATGCTAAGATAGGCATATGAGCCAAAAAGATAACTAAACAAAAATTTTAGATGATTATACCCACCCCCTGTAAAGGTTATAAATGTGTTAATATAGGTCTATATTTTTTGGATGGCCTGAGGCCTTCCCTATAAAAACAAAGAGGGCTTCAGAGATATGCAAGATCTTATTAAAAAAAATCCAAGGTTTGGTCTGCCTCTCTCCATAGACAATGACAATGGGCCAAGTATTTGCAACAGAGGTTGTACAAGATCTAGCTAAATTGTTATACTGCTTATTGTTCTCAGAGTTCTTATAAGGTTAAAAATGAGTTGATCTGCTCCCTTTGGCCTTCTTTAAGTTAAGAACTATCCAAGTCATTTTGGATTCTCCTCATGTGAGGTCTTGTTTAAAAGGCCACCCTGTATCTTGAAACTTTATAAAATTATCTCAACTGGGCTTATCCAATATAAGATCACAGCTGTTAAAATTGGGCAAATATTTCAAAATATTCAAGGATAAATTAAAACCGGGGAAAAGAGACCCAGTAACAGCTGTGACCTTGACAGTATTATTGAAAATGGGTATCACGGGGGTGGGGGGGCTAACACTGGAGCCGCTGCCCTCATTACACAACATCAGCAATACAATGGCCTGCAGACAGCAGTTGATCAAGATACTGAAAGAATAAAATTGTCAATCACTAAAGTACAAGAGTCTTTAAGCTTCCTTGCTGAATTGACTCTGCAACATAAAAAGATGGATAAATCTAATTTTCCAACAGCAGGGAGTGCTGCCTTGGGGGGAAAAATGTTGTTATTATACTGATCATTCAGAAATAGTCAGATATTCTATGGCTAAAGTTAAAAAAGGACTAAAAAAAATGAAGAAAAAAATACAAAACCAAGGGTGGTTTGAGAGTTGGTACACTTCATCTCTCTGGCTAACTTCTTTACTTTCAGCCTTAGCTGAATCTTAGGTTTAATTTTGCTTGTAATAGGACCTTGTATAATTAATAAGTTGATTGCATTTATTAGTCAAAAAAAAGAAGTTCTGTACAGTTGATGATATTGAGATAACAATATCAGCCTCCTCCTGAAGACAAAAAAACTCAAGTGTCCAAAAAGAAGTATAATGTCCCCT